ACCTTTCACTATTTTTCAATTCCGTTGGGAAGAGAAACAGTTTGAACGGAGGTTTGAGTCACACACATCTGATTCCCTTTTGCATTTATGGAGTTTGCAAACAAATTTCTCAAGCTGTTTTCCGCTGTTAGGATCCAACAACCACACAATTACAATGTCCGAATCTCAAAACTAAAATATGACAATATCAGAACCAGAAACAAAAGTGATATGGTTCAAAAGACTAGAAAAGATCGACTTTGACAAAAGACACATCCCACTGGGAAAACAAACATGGAGGTTTGATGCTCACTTTTTCGGAAATTCCTTCCCAGTATGAATTGTGCAATGACCGGAAGTCTGAGATTCTTGATGCGTCTATACCCTCAAAAAATGAGTATCTAATTTCAATACTAGTTTCAGTATCGATTAGTAGCTGATTTTCAATGCTTTTGACAACTCTTGTAAATACAGACCCCACGTTAGGGCTGCAAAACATTGGTAATCGAATCAGAATTACAATTTGGTTTGCACAATTATGAAATCACAAATCTGAAAATATTGAGCTCACTGAATGTCTTTATACGGAAAGACACAAAGACATCTGTCGTTTTTAGATTTCTACAAACATGTTCTGAAACACATGGGGCACTTGTGTAACGATATCCAAATCTCGATTATTGTCACGGTATGAACTTCGCGGTACGATATTTATTGCGATATCGTGGCAAAGCTCATGATTATGGATGTAACAATATCCAAATCTCTTACGATATTTGCGCAATATTTCCACGATATCATCTTACGGTACGATAATTATTGCGATATAAAAACTGACTTTTTCCTCTTAAAATGCCTTGACAAGACTTAATCCAAAAAACTAAGACTTTAAAGTGCTTAGAAGTGTTATTTCTTCTTGTAGTCTGCACTGAAACGGAGCAAAGGATCATGGTCGATGTAGTTCCCTCTGTCTTCTTTAGCTATTTCTGCACCATAACATAAGACACTTGTAATCTGATATACTGTGATGGGCCATGATATTATTGTCAGAACTTTGACGATACGATATTATTATTATTTTCGTTTTTTGTTACATTCCTACATTCCTAACAGATGAACAGAACTACTTTTTTAGACAAAGATTGCAAATCAAAACACAATATTTGCTCATTTATTCACCAAAATTGTGCAGCTCTATCCAAAAAGATTCATAAAAGTGTTGAAAAGAGTGAGGAGAGGTTCTAAACTAGTCATGTAAATTGCTTCTATCTATAGTTCTATGCGTTTTAGGTCATCATTTGATTTGATTAAAGAGTTCATATTACGATATTTTCTGATCTGTGTTCTAATATTTCCTCATCACAAACAGACCTGGACTTGTGTTTTGATTCATTCACACATTTAACACACAAACCCTGCATATTTAGGCTACGTTCAGACTGCAGGGCTTAACGCTCAATTCTGATTTTTATTGTGAAATCCGATGTTTTTGCGAGGTCGTTCACATTTCCAATTAAATATGACTTATATGTGACTCCAGTGTGAACATTAAATGGCCCAAAAGTGTCCCGCATGTGCACTGGAGACACGACGATGTCAACCGCAGCGAGCGTCTCTGTGTTTATGGAAGTTGTCCAAACATGGACGCAGCATTGAGCACCTGGAGATTTTAAAGTTCCTCTCGTACCGGAGCCAGAACATGAACAACTTACTTGTTTTAAGGAGGAGATTGAGAAGGAGAAGGACGAGGTTTTTGGTCGTGGTGTTTTGTGGGACAGCGGCAGCGACGTCCGTTGAAAGGAACATGTGGATGTGGAGACGGAGCCAAGAGTGGTGAGTGGTGATGTGCTTCACTTCAGTGACACTGAGTTCATTAACAATTTTCACCTACTTCAGCGCAGAATAGTGACGTTTGTGTCTTGTTGATAACGTGTAGGTGGATGAATGCACTTTGGCCGTTCAGACTGAAGTCACATGTCAAAAGATCAGATATGTATCGATTTCAGGAGCACATATCCAAGTGTCCTGGGTCACATTTGAAAAAAATCGGATCTGTGTGGTTCAGACTGACATTAAAAGATCAGATACAGGAACATAGAGGCCAAAAAATCAGATTTGGGTCACTTCAGGCTGCAGTCTGAAGCCTTAGACTGAGTTCTTCTCTCAAATTGAATTGTGATGTACAGGAAGTGCTCCACTGTGTTTTTAAACTCCACACACCTTCACTAGAATCATTTGGATCATTTCAGCGCTGGAGTTACGCAAATCTCTACAATCTCTCTAATCTCTAAAGGTAAAAGGAGTTGTTCACTTGAAAATTACCACTTCATGACATCACAAGGTGGACCAGAGCATTTTGAGCTTTGAAGATGTGGACAGACTAATAAAAAAGAGTCCGTCTACATTTCCAAAGCTCAAAATGCTCTGGTCCAGGTCTGTTTTTGAGGAGGAAACATTAGAATGTGACTCAAAACAGAAGAGTCCATTTTGTGTAATCTAGAACCTTTAAGCAATGATCCTTTAATGACAACATTTTCATTTTCAAAGTCAGAGTCAGGGCTTTTTTTCTTAACCTTGTTTTATCAGTCCTTATTTCCGACTCGAGCCAAAGGTTTAGTCCCATTTTAGACAAGTTTGAGTCTAAGTTTAGACCTGATCCGGTGCGGTTCATATCAGACGTTCTCCTTCCTGCGCTTGTTTGGGGTCATGGAACTTCTATAGAAAGTCCAATGTTTTTTTGTGAGTTTTTTTTCTGGTGGAGGCTTCGTTAAACGCTTTTCTCCATGGATATGTCATTGCTTTTAAGTTACAGGTCAGATCTGTGGAGAGGCGACCCCGCTCACAGTCAGAATGTCTGTTTTTCTTTGTAATTTTGAGCTCTAAAACCATCTGTGATTGAATAAATGTAAAGTAGAGCTGTTAAATGTCACACTGTGGAACATTCCAGGTGGAGCAATGACATATCGGAGCCACAACCAAAAAGTTACAGGACACAGGAAAACACCACTAATCTCATCTCTTTCTCACATTTCAATCATTTTCTGGAGGGATAAACAAACTGGGCACGTTCAAATCAAAGTTTATTTTTGAGAATTAAAGTCTCACTGTAACATTATTTAATCACTATCAACTCAATTTACACTCAAACATCTGTGACTCCCGTAGAGTTAAATGAAGCAGCTCTGGTTTGTAGAAAGAAATTCATGTCATCGTAATCGAGCTTACTTTGCAAATAAGGTTAAAGTGGCACAATAAAACCCAGGGTGCAGGAGCAGACAGGAGCAGGCAGGAGCAGGCAGGAGCAGGAGCAGGCAGGAGCAGGCAGGAGCAGGCAGGAGCAGGCAGGAGCAGGCAGGAGCAGACAGGAGCAGACAGGAGCAGCAGGCAGGAGCAGCAGACAGGAGCAGGCAGGAGCAGGCAGGAGCAGACAGGAGCAGCCCCAGAGCCATTCACACAGACTAAAGTGGAGAAACTGGCCAATGTTTTGATCCTCTGAGCAAAAATTCTACTAGTACAACTACAACCGCAAGTGATACAACTGACCATAAACTCATTTTGATCAAACTTCAGACTGGGTTTGGTCCAAGTTTAGACCTGGTTTAGACCTGGTTTACTCTACAGACCTGATTTAATCCTGGTTATGTTCTAGTTAGTCGTGGTTTAGGTTTGGTTTAGACCTGGTTTAGACCTGATTTAGATCCAGTTTAGTCCTGGTTTAGATCTGGTTTAGACTTGGTTTAGATCTTGTTTAGCCCTATAGACCTGGTTTAGACCTGGTTTAGACCTGGTTTAGACCTGGTTTAGACCTGGTATAGTCCTGGTTTAGATCTTGTTTAGCCTATAGACCTGGTTTAGACCTGATTTAGACCTGATTTAGACCTGGTTTAGACCTGATTTAGACCTGGTTTAGACCTGGTTTATTCCTGGTTATGTTCTAGTTAGTCTAATCCTGGTTTAGATCTGGTTTAGACCTAGTTTGTGACCTGGTTTAGACCTGGTTTAGACTTGGTTTAGATCTTGTTTAGCCCTACAGATCTGGTTTATTCCTGGTTATGTTCTAGTTAGTCTAATCGTGGTTTAGACCTGGTTTAGATCTGCTTCAGACCTGGTTCAGTCATAGTTTCCTTCAGACATTGTTTAGTTCCAGTTTGAACTTGGTTTAGTTCTGGTGTAGTCCTGGTTTAGTCTTAGTTTAGTCCAAGTTGTGTTCTTTTAGATCAGATTTAACCTTAGTCCTAGTTTAATTTAGTCTAGTCCTACTTTAAACCGGTTTTAATGTTAGTTCAGACCTGGTTTAGATCTGGTTCTGACCCGGCTAAGTAGTATTTTTCTTTAGACACGGTTGAAGTTCAGAGAATTCTCAGCTTGAACTTGATCACAGTCTCTGTCTTCACTGAGTAAGTTGTGTAAGCTGCAGAGTTGAAGTGTTTTCATTGAGCGCGTTAGAGACGCTTCTGTCTGCTCCTGCTTCTGCTTCTACTTCTGCTTCTGCTTCCCGCGGACAACTGGAACGGTCCTTTCTTTTTAACTCTGAAATATTTTAATATCCAATTATCCATTTACTCATCAGACCAGACTACAGGACAACTACTGAACCAATTTTCACGCTTATTTTAGTTTGGAACAACGCACTTACCCCAGACACTAGCGCTGGTCTTTTTTAATAAATTAGTCACCAAATATTTTTTTAACGAGCCATAGTTATGGTAGTTGTAATGATTTCATACGCAATTTGTAATTAAATCTGTATTTGAGCTAAAACTTTAAGGCTTTGAACTTAACTAAAATATTGCTTACATGACTTTAGAATCCGTCTGTTGTGTTTAGAAGAATTTTGAATTGACCAAAGTGGACAGAACTGAGAATTCATGACAATCTAAAGTGAATATATCAAATAATAAACTCGTTAACTTCTTAAAACTGCTAAGTGAACTCTTAAATGTCCCTAATCTTTGCCATAACGGATCCAGACGAACTGAATCCTCGGTTTTCTTGGATACGTGTGCGTAACGTGGACTCACCTGCGCGCACAGCGAAAGGAGCAGAAAAAATCCCACGAGTTTAAAATGATTGCCAAAATAATTCCACATGTCTGGTCCTAAGCAAGTCCACGTCCTTTAAAACCATGGGGGAAAACTAAGGGAAAGTGTCAGCGCATCGTGAACACAGTCTACCGGGGAAAGAGCGCTCGTGTCGGGCTCCAGAGCGCAGCCCGTGTCCCGGTGTGGTCCTGCTGTGGTCCTGTTGTAGTCCCGCTGTAGTCCCGCTTTTTAGTCCCGCTTTAGTCCGGCTCTCCGCGCTTCCACGGTGCGCACTGAACGCTCCCGGGGTCGAGTAGCGGGACACAGAGGCAGAGACAGCGCCGGGGCAGACGGACGGACGCCGCGGCCAATCAGAGAGCGAGGAGGAGGGGCGAGACGGAGGTGAGAGCCAATGAGACGAGCGAGGAGAAGGGGAGGGGGCGGGGCTGCAGACTGTCACAGAAGTCTTACCTGTGCGCGTGGAGGAATTATTTTAAAGGGGTGCTGTGTCACTTTTCTCGTAGAGAGTCGGTCATTTGCTTGTCTCCATGGTGATGTTATTGATTTGTCTGAAATGTCTTATCTTGCTGGCTCGCTTTTCCATAGATCTGACCTGCACCTTGGCCTGGTGGCTTTATTTTCTTGTCTTAATGGAGAAATGAGTTTAATGCCATACTGTGGAAAATTCCATCTCTATGGAAACAAGCAGGTGCGGACCCTCCACCAGGTCCATACCACTGACCAACAAGGTAGTAGTAGCAGCAAATAAGTAGTAGTGGCAGTAGTAGTAGAAGTAGTAGCAGGTAGCAGTAGTACTAGTACTAGTAGTAGCAGCAGTAGTAGTAGTACTAGTAGCAGCAGCTGTAATAGTAGTACTAATACTAGTAGCAGTAGTAGTAGTACTAGTAGCACTAACAGTAGTACTAGCAGTAGTACTAGCAGCAGCAGCAGTACTAGTAGTGGTGGTGGTGGTAGTAGTAGTACTAGTAATAGTAGTAGTAGTATAGCTACTAGTATAGTAGTAGTAGCAGTAGTAGCAGCAGTAGTAGCAGTAAGGAGTAGCAGCAGTAGTAGTAGTGGTAGTAGTAGTGGTAGTAGTAGTAGTAGTAGTAGTAGTAGTAGTAGTAGTAGCAGTAGTAGTACTAGTAGTGGTGGTAGCAGTAGTAATAGTAGTAGCAGTAGTAGTAGTTATTGTAGTAGTAGTAGATTTGAGTGTTGTGTGTTGTATTTGGTGTGTGTGATGTGTGAACAGCTCACACACGCCCTCTATCTGCAGCACAGAGAACAGCAGCTGCAGTAGATCACAGATCACACACTCTGTGTCAGCCGCTCTGTTCCATTTACACATTCAACTCTAATCACTCATGTAAATAACTCTGTAAACCACATTCTCAGAGCACGTATCAGAGTATTTCCTGTTTACTCTGTGCTGTGTTGAGTTTGTCTGAGCTCCAGTCAGACTCGGATCAGCAGGAGCTCAGTGTTTAGTCTCTGCTGCTTTATTTTATGATACACTTTGATAAAAGATCAGAACGACAAAATAACACGTTTACTCAACTGTTTATTTTGGACTCCTCTGACCTAGAGTAGTGCTCCTTATTTAGATCAGGTTTAGTCCTGGTTTAGTCCTGGTTTAGTCCTGGTTTAGTCCTGGTTTAGTCCTAGTTTAGTCCTAGTTTAGGTCTGGTTTAGATCTGGTTAAGTCATACTATTAAGTTTACTTTACTTTAGCTCCAGTTGGAATTTGGTTTAGTCCTAGTTTAGTCCTGGTTTCAATCTAGTTTAGCCCTGGTTTAGGTCTGGTTTAGCTCTGGTTTAGGTCTGGTTTAGGTCTGGTTTAGTCCTGGTTTAGTCCTGGTTTAGTCCTGGTTTAGTCTGGTTTAGTCCTGGTTTAGCCCTGGTTTAGATTTGGTTTAGTCCTGGTTTAGTCCTGGTTTAGTTGGTTTAGTCTGGTTTAGTCCTGGTTTAGGTCTGGTTTAGATTTGGTTTAGGTCTGGTTTAGTCCTGGTTTAGTCCTGGTTTAGTCCTGGTTTAGGTCTGGTTTAGTCCTGGTTTAGTCCTGGTTTAGTGGTTTAGCCCTGGTTTAGATTTGGTTTAGTCCTGGTTTAGGTCTGGTTTAGTCCTGGTTTAGGTCTGGTTTAGATTTGTTTAGGTCTGGTTTAGTCCTGGTTTAGTCCTGGTTTAGATTTGGTTTAGGTCTGGTTTAGTCCTGGTTTAGGTCTGGTTTAGATTTGGTTTAGGTCTGGTTTAGTCCTGGTTTAGTCCTGGTTTAGTCCTGGTTTAGATTTGGTTTAGCACCGGGGTCATTCCACACCAGATCTTCGAATGCTCTCGCTCAACCATCTCAGATTTGACTGAAAAATTGAGTTGAAACTATGTGTCAAACATTCAGAGTGTTTTCTGAGCTTCTGAAAGTGTCTTCATAGTCCATGAATGTTCTGCATGTTTGTAGACACCACATTTTCAACAAATTCATTTTGCAAAAATAAGGCAGAACACCATCACAAATGTTGGATATGTTAAAAAAGGTCCATTTGATGTTGGTGGGTGCAGTCATTTATTTGGTATAACATGGTAAAAATGGCACCAAATTTATTTATTTATTTTTTCATTTTGAACCCTTAATATCTTGTAGAGCGTTCATCACAGAGGGTCAGTTTTAAAATACAAAGTCCACAGTGACATGTGTGGGAGGGTGTATGTTCAGTATCAAACCTCTGTCTTTGAAATTGCACTTTCCACAGTCCTTCAAAGACGCCCTTATACTTTAAGAGTAAAGTTTTTGAGCAAATTCAAGCCCCAGAAATCTGTGATAAACCAAAAGCACATGTGTAAAAGTCCAGATTCTACAAGTACATTTGACAAATTTTAAACCTTGAAAATTTCAAGCCCCTACCTTAAATAGTTTTTTAGATAGAGCAATCTGAAAGTGGCTCCTCGGAAAACTCTGCTCAAAACAAACAAAATTGAGACTTTTCCTGTTGGAAAGTGAACCTCCTAGATTTTTTTCAGTCAAATCTGAGATGGTCGAGTGGGGACATTTGGAGATTTGATGTAGAATGACCCACTGGTTGAGTCATACCATTAACTTTACTTTAGACATTATTTAGTTTCAGCTTGAATTTGGTTTAGTCCTGGTTTAGTCCTGGTTTAGTCCTGGTTTAGTCCTGGTTTAGTCTTGGTTTAGTCTTGGTTTAGTCTTGGTTTAGTCCTGGTTTAGTCCTGGTTTAGTCTGGTTTAGTCTGTAGTTAGTCCTGGTTTAGTCCTGGTTTAGTCCTGGTTCAGTCCTGGTTCAGTTCTAGTTTAATCCCTGTATAGTCCTTTTTTGACACTTACATCTGGAGATTTGTTTTCTATGCAGTGAGAAAGAAGTGTGATGTCATATTATAGAACATTCCAATAACATCTCCATGAAGCAGGTGGCTCATCCTCTGACAGAAAAGTTACATAGTGCAGCTTTATTATGTGCAGACTTCCCACAGCTCGTCATGAAGAGCACATTTCTGTTAAATCACCATCAACTGTGAGCTTGAGCACACTGCAGGAAACACAGTGAATGGGACTGGACATATATGTAATAAACTACATTCCTCCAACTACAGTGGACCGCATTACCCATAATTCACTCTGACACAGGCACACTATTACCCATAATTTACTTGGACACAAGGACAGTGAAACGGAGGAATCCACATCTGTGCACATCTGTCACTCACGGTATGAGCCCACTGTATCTACTGTATCTGAGTGTGTGTGTCTGTGTGTGTGTGTGTGTGTGTGTGCGTGTGTCTGTGGGGGTGTGTCTCTGAGTGTGTGTGTGTCTGCGTGTGTGTCTGTGTGTATATCTGTGTGTGTATCTGAGTGTGTGTGTGTCTGTGTGTGTGTATATCTGTGTGTGTGTGCGCACATGCGTGCGTGCATGTGTGTGTGTGTCTGTGTGTGTATCTGTGTGTGTCTGTATCTGTGTGTGTGTGCGTGTGTGTGTGTGTGTGTGTGTGTCTGTGGTGTGTGTGTGTCTGTGTGTGTATCTCTGTGTGTGTGTGTGTGTGTGTGTGTGTGTGTGTGTGTGTGTGTGTGTGTGTGTGCTGTGTGTGTGTCTGTGTGTGTGTGTGTGTGTGTGTGTGTGTGTGTGTCTGTGTGTGTATCTGTGTGTGTCTGTGTGTTGTATATCTGTGTGTGTGTGTGTGTGTGTGTGTGTGGTGTGTGCTGTGTGTGTGTATGTGTGTGTGTATCTGTGTGTGTGTGTGTGTCTGTGTGTGTATCTGTATGTGTGTATGTGTGTGTGTGTGTGTGTCTGTGGTGTGTGTATCTGTGTGTGTCTGTAAAAAAGAGTGTGTGTTTTATTGTTGCATACAGTCTCAAATCTGATTAAAGAGGAGGCTAAGTCACTCCCCCTTCAGAGCACTAGTACATGAAACTACCACACATCACATCAGCTTTGTCAAGTTGTTGTGCACAGTTTTGTATCATGTCTTTGTATTTTTATGGAGAATTGTGGAGTGTGACCATGGCTGATGGAGGCTCGTGGGCGGAGCATTGGACAGAATTTTGCAGCTGTCGTAAAGAAGGTTTGAATAGAGCCCATGAGAGATCGCTAATTTACTCAAACATGCATAAATGACATCTAAAACCTCTTCAGGCATGTTTTTGATGATGGGACAATGTCATAATGTGGTAGAAAGCTCAAAAATACAGTTGCAGTTATAATGAAAGTTAACATAAAGTGGCTGGAGTGTCCTGCTCCGTGACACAGCAACAGACTAAATAATGACTGAACCATTCCATCCTGTTCTTTTGTGTGTGTGTGTTTTCTATTTTTCTTTTTTCTTTTAAAGGGCCCATCTTATGTAAAATAACTCTTTTCACATTGTGTCTTCTGCACATAAACAAGCACAATTTGGGTTTTGGAACATCCATTACACTATAGTTCTGAAATCTTCCAGATTTCTTGGAGGCACCACAGACCAGGAACTATGAAAGTCCAACTATTGCTCATCCGTAATTTTCAACATATCGTATTTTCTAGGCTATTGCGCTCGCTCTTAAGCCTCTGACCTCATCGAAAAACG